TGATTCATTGTAAGGTATGCACAATTTGTTAAAGTAGTAGCAGCAAGATTTAAAGAGCATGATTCATTGTAAGGTATGCACAATTTGTTAAAGTAGTAGCAGCAAGATCTAAAGAGCATGATTCATTGTAAGGTATGCACAATTTGTTAAAGTAGTAGCAGCAAGATCTAAAGAGCATGATTCATTGTAAGGTATGCACAATTTGTTAAAGTAGTAGCAGCAAGATTTAAATAGCATGATTCATTGTAAGGTATGCACAACCTTTTCCAAGACCCTCTGAAATATTTAGTATGTACAAAATAACAATGAAAGGGTATAAAAGGAATTCTTCTAAATGTAAGTCAGGGTCAATCAGAGTACATAACATAACAGGTAAAAAATAATGTACAGTTACCTTCTTTCACAGCCAGACTCGATCAGAGTACAGGTATAAGGCTTCCTGAGAAAATAAGGTATGAGAAACAAAGGTATTGATATCAGAATGTCATCTCATGCAATGCCAATAATAAAAGAAAATATGATTCAACAAGAAGTTGCTAAGGGGAAAAATCCAAGAACATAATGTTTTGGAACAACAAGCGACTTATTAGTCCATCTCGGATGTTCGATCCTCTAAACTAAACTACTACTGAATAAATAAATTTAAAAAAAATAAGCTTAAAGCCAGCCCTTATTATTCATATAGTTATTAAGCTTTCTCTTAAACTCACTTAAATTTACTGCCTCCATGAGATTTAAGAAAATACGTTGAAAATATACGTTGTTGAAGACTATAGGCTCTATAGAGGTCTTTGAACAATGGAGACAAAAGAGAATTATGGCATTCATGGCATCTGAAGGTGGTTCTGTAATTGGCTATGGATAAGCTGGTAAGCCTTGGTTATGATACAAAAAAGAAAGGAAGTTGTTATGCAAATTAAATTGACCGTACACACAAACTGTGAAACCTGCCATGGGAAACAGCAGACAATTTGGCATTAGCAGCCAGAACTTGTTGATGAATAAGGATTGAAAATGCAGCCACAAAACAAGCCTGCATGCCAGAGGCATACTAAATGAGTAGGGCTTCTAAAGAAGTTGTAAAAATTTAAATATTATTGGAAATATTGCATCAGAATTAATTTTGATTCCTGAATTCACTGCAGCATGTTAATATCACAACTGTGAACAATAAAATCTGGATTATGGTGGAAAGCATAACTGACATAAGTACATTAAGTTATATGAGCAGGCGTGTCGAGAGCCAGCACGGGCCCCAGGGCAAACATCCTCACCGAGCCTCCTTTCTCTCTCTTTTGTAACATTTTTAAGAACTCATTAAAAAGAAGATCCTAAATTAGGACAGCGACAAGCTCATAAACAAGGCAAGATCATAGCAGCAGCCGTTTTCAGCTCACTATATAAGCGTAAAAACTTGCTTTACGGCATAAACAGATTTCATTCGCCCAGGCACCTCAGCAGTTGCCCTCTTTGCCCACTTCTGCGGCAGGCCTGTATCTAAGTAGTGGGAAAGTGGAGAACTATAGAAAACTGAAACATGCTCAGCATTGTGATAATAAAACAATTGTGTAGACATGAAAATTACAAGATGTTAAACAAAACAAATAAAGTGAAACACTGACCAATTAAAATAATTTCATCAACAAATATGTAAAGGACTCAGAATTTTAGTCGAATTTGTTGACAGCATGAAAACAACTTAAAATAGAAAGGTTATTCACATTCCACAGGTAAGTCTATCTATTTTGAATTTTACTTACATATATAATATTATATATATTCATTGAGCAAGGATAAAACAGAAAACAAAATTACCTGAAAAACTTTTGGGGCACTAACGAGACTAGCAAGAGCAGAGGACAATGTTGCTGCAAAGATTCCGGCATAGATTAAGGGTCCAAAGGCAGAAATTAATTCCATTACCTACAGAAAATAATAGATAGAATGACAACTGAAAATTTAAAGTTTAAAATACAAATTACATTAAAAATAATAAAACATGTTATATATTTATATACTTAAGCGATAACTGTTTATCTCATTAATAAAAAAAAAATTACAACAACAACAAACAAGTATATACAGCACCTATATATGTACTACAAAAACAACAGCATTAAAAATAATAAAATATGGGATCTATCTGATATGAGAATAGGTCCAGTAATGAAAAAAAATGCTAACCTGATAAAAATTCATAAGTCCAAAAGGACATCTTCCTTCAGGCCCATATGAACAGTTTTGTATCATTTCAATTGTTCCATTTGTCACAAACAACTCCACTCCATTAGCATCACGAAGACATGTGCAACCAGAAATTACAGCAAACAAGATATACATTGTGCATGTAATGAAAATAGCCAGAAACGTTCCTTTAGGAATGGCTCGCTGGGGGTCCTGCAATATATTCAAAATCCTACATCAATTTGGCATAATTCTATTAAGTTTTGTGTCAGTCTTAAACTTCTTTCAATGCTGACAAAAATAACCTTAAGTTAAAGAAAGAAACCAGTTTATTCCCTGATACTGATGGTTTCATTCTCTCCTGGTTTACAATTGACAAGCTGAGGTACTCATCCTTTGTCCAGGTTATGAACAAAGAAAATGTGGGGGGTGGATGCTATGATAAATAACATAAAAATCATAACTTTCACAAAATTTATTTATAACATATTATTTCATTATTCATTATTACCTCACCAAAAGTTTTGTATAACTTTAAGAACTCAATATGTATATACTTAAAACATGATATGCACTGTGCAATGGTCAGGGTGGCTTTGTGAAAGAGGTAGCAGCCAAAGTAGTGGCAACAGGTGTGTTTTTTGTTACCTGCTTTCAACAGCCAGCTCTTAATGTCTTTCCACAGTGTTTCACATGATTAATTAACAGACTGTCATGGGGCCACAGAAGTTTTGTATGGGCTGAAGTTGAAAGGTCACAGGTCAAAGTAGGAAGTTGGTATAATTAAAAAAATGGTTCTTCATATCAGCCTTATTGTGAGTGTTGGAATAGAAACTTCAGCTCAGTTTATGTATTATTGCAATATTAGTGGATATTTTCTTCATTGCATTCCTCCACAGAGAGTGCTAGCACACTGTTTGAGATATATAGGATGTTTAATTTCATACTTTTTTGAAGGGGTGGTGGATAAAATAGGGAAGATGACAAGCTAAGAGAAAATGTGTCACGTGGGTCACACTAGGGGAAATTCTGAATTTTTTTAAATATTGCCTTGTAGAATTAAGAACCTAAAACTTATATACTACTAAAATATGGATTATTAGCTAAAATTTTATGCTATTCTAATTGGTATAACATAAACAAAAAAGAGTTTAATAAAATTTTGAATGTAAGACACTAAAACTTTGTTTTATGCACAGTAAAGGGTACCCATGGCGATAGGGTTAAATTATTTCAGGGACACTAAAAAGGTTAATTGTGTTGCATTCTTGGTTTCATTCAGAGCCAAAGCTCTGAGCTACTTATACCACCCACTGTGAAAAGTAATTGTTGAGCATTTTAGTCATGCTAAGAGTCACTGAATAATAACATATGGTAAGTCTACAATTTTATTGTTATATCACAGTTTGAAATGTGAAAAATAATGTGACTAATTCCTAACAACTTTGTGTAGAATATCCTGCTTATGAAATAAAGTTTTGCATCAACATCATTTATACTGTTCTCCAGTTATTTCAAAAAATGAATATTCAGCTTTACCTGCGTGCACAGCTTTTCAAATTGGAGACAGACAACATAGTTCTCAATATATATATATATATGATTTGATACTTTTTTTTAAGTGTAAGGATGTAGCGCCACCTATGAATGTAGTTAGCATTAACTTATGTCCAAGATAATAAATGTTCAATAATAACTATCATCCCACAAAGTTTAGTTAAGTTTGGTCCAGTGGCCCAGGAGTAGTTAAATAATGGACAAACAGACACAGATTTTTGTGCTTTATGTATATATTAGTTTAGTGTATTTAAACATTCAACTATCATGTGATATATAGATACAACATTAAAAACAATGTCGCACAACATACCAACGTTAACAACATGACTACAAACAGCCACATATCTCATGTAAGTGAACTTAAAGCAAGAAAAAATATGAAAGGTTCCAACATTTAAGACAAAAAAAATCAGTTGAGAATCTGGGATCCATTTCAGGTCTAGAGGTAGTAGCAAGTGTTCTCTCTCTCTGATGCAGTAGAAACACACTTGAACATATTTGAAATAAGGTATTCTTTATTAAAAGGTTAAAATTCAAGAAACTTGTGTATATGTTTAAAATATCAAAATCCACAAATGAGCAATGTTTAATATTACACAAGTAATATCTTTATTTAAATTGATCAATGGTTGTGAAAGTCACTTTACATGTTTCAACATGGTTTCATGTCATCTTCAGGAGTATGAAAAACAGTTACTATGTGCTATATAATTACAAAAGTCATGGTCATGTGACTACTAGTTTACAATTCAAAAAAAGAAGATCACGACATGTACATACTTTCTAACCCTTTATCCTTATTTAGGGTCATGTTGTTTTTGCTGTGTTTCATTATTTCAATGGTTTCTTTAATATTTCTAGCAGTCATATTATTCGGTTGAGCCAAAATAACTGTTTTTTCCCTATTGGATGACATGTCCAGTATAATTTACATGTTCAGCTAATTCAGAGTTTTTACTTTTGTTTTTAACATTACTCCTATGTTCATTTATTCTAAATTTTAAGTTTCTTCTAGTTTGACCAATGTACGCACGACCACATTCACATTGAACTTTATATATACCCGTTTTCTTTATTAGATTTATTGCATCTATAGTTTTACTTAATATCTGACTAATTTCATTCAATAGTCTGTAAATGGCAATAAGATTTTTTGTTTTGTTTTCTGAATTTATGAAAAATTTGACATGATAAACCTGGGATATATGGTAAAAACAACATTTCTTTTTTATCTATTTTTTATCAAATGTTGATTTTAGTTTACTTTTTTGTCCAACATTTATTTTGTTAAATTTTCTAAGAACTCTATCGACAATATGAGGCAACAAACCTCTATCTAATGCTATATGTTTAATAAATAACTGTTCATTTTTTAAATCTGCTGAATTAGAACATAGTTTTAAAGACCTGTAAACATAAGAGTAAAAAGCTGACATTTTTTTAACCTTGGATAACGTGATTCTTGGTGTTGCGGCATGATAACAGAAAAACGATTTACGACAGACCGTAGTTTCAAACTGATTATTGTTTTTCTGAACAAGTAAGTCCAAAAATGGTTAGCTGTTGTTTTCTTCAACTTCGTGAGTAAATTGAATAGAAGGTTCGAGGCTATTTAAGTTCTCTAGCAAGTTCTCTTTACCATGCCATCACAACATGAATGTGTCGTTGACGTACCTAATCCATATTTCCAGTATAAATTTGGCATTCTGTACAGCATCAGTTTCAAACCTATCCCTAAAAATATCACAGTACAAAGGAGATAACGAAGAACCCACAGCTACGCATTCAGTCTGTTTATAGATCTTATAATTGAATTGAAAATATAAGTTTTCAACACAAGTTTTTGTTAAGTTTATCGTGTCTAAAATTTCAAAGACTGGTACGTTGTTTACACGTAATTTGCCTTCAAAACAACTGATAGCTGTATCAATAGGTACTTTCATGAATAATGATACAATATCAAAAGATACAAACATATCATTACTATTTAGATTCACCTTACACATTTATTCAACAAATTCTATGGAATTTTTAATGGTATAACTATTTTTATTACTCAAGAAAAAATACTTTCAAGCTAAAAATTTAGCTAGATGTATAACTGAAATTATGAGGCTATAGTAATCTCCTATTTTGTGAACTTTTGGTAAAGCATAAAATATTGGAATTACAAAACTACTCGAACCGACCATTAGGCTTATACAGTCTATAACTTTTTCTTTAACCGATTCATGAAGTCTGTTACGAGAGTTGGTCTTCTTTATTCTGGATACAACACTCAACAATCAAGTAGAACAGCATGTCAATACATGTGATATCATACAACAATCACACGGCAACATCTGTATCAATGTTCAACATCCACTAGTCATGAATAACACCAATCATATTTATCTTAAGACAAGATCTATTTTTTCAGCTGCCCTTGTGATAAATCTTCAAAAGTTGTTTTTTTTTTTTTCAATTTTGTTACATATTTTTATTTGAAATCTATTTGCACCATTTATTGATTCTTGCAAAACAATTTTCCACAACTATAACACAAGACTTAATCAATGCATATGCATAATCATTTCTACTATGTGTATGTAAAGTATCCTGATTAACTTACAGTTAGATCTCCACTAATATTTGCACCAGCTAGGATTCCCGTCGCTGCTGGAAAAAATACTGAAAACACAGAGAAAAAGTCTTCTCCACGGAAATTAGGTCGAAGGTTTTCTTTGATCAGAGCAACTGATAAGACCAAATGTATTTAATGTCAATATACAGTATTAACGAATGTTCCATGTAAATGAACTTTAAGTAAACTAGTAAAGTTGCCTGTGTTTCAAAACTAAAAACACACACTAGTAGAAACATTTATAAAAGAGACTAACTTAAACTTTGATTTATAGAATATAGGAAAGCAATATGTTAGAATATGCATGATAATCAGACATTACAACCACCTTAAAACAGCTTGCATTCATTATGTAGTGATTAGTTTTAGAAATATTTTAAATACACACATCAAACAACTGTTAAACCATTTTGTGCTTATAAAATACAACCGATTTAAAGTTTTATCCTCTACCATAAACTAAATAGGAAATGGAAAAATGTACAAAAATTAAAAACAAAAGTAAAATCAGTTCATAACAAGGTAAACTACAGCAGCTTCGATTGGTTTATTTAGGAGGTAAACTAAATTCTAAGTTTATTCCAATATGACACTTATGAACATTCTAATCAATACTTTCATAATAAAGTGAAAATTAATTGCATAATCCAATACTTAGGTTGGTTAGCAGATACAAGGAATTACTATAACTAGGACTTGAAATAATTAGTAATTAAGCATAAATATTTATACGATTAATTGTTAAATAAAAGCACCTTAATCTTCGAACTTAAAATAAAGATTGACAAGAGGCTGGTTTACACATGCATGTGCTCGGGATTAAATTGAAACTACAGCACACAAAGTGGTATAAGAACTAGATGCAAGCAGTCACATACAGTGATTACAGAATCTCACATATTTTAACAAACTCTAAATTGTTTTTAACTTTCGATTGATTAATAAAAACACGAGAAGTCACTATCATAACTGTTTTTCTTTAGGTCTGGATGTTGATCAATATGTATAAATTAACATTATGCAGGTCCTAAAACGATAATGAAAAACTAATTATTGTGGAAAACATTTGTGATATCCCTGTACTTCATGACAGACTTGCATACTTTGCATATTCTTAAGAACTTTGATGGCTGTTGCTAGAAAATTAATTCACTGATATTTTTGTGCCATTTTAAATGTGGGAATAATTCAATAAAATTAAACTTTCAGATCAAGTTATTGATAACTTTTTAGCTCAGAGTTTCACAAATTGGGGTCTGCGAGTCTTGTCCGAAATTTCACAAAAATATCTTAAGAAATATGATTTATATAGTTAAAAATATTTATTTTGTTATGAATTAAAACATTTAATTTTGGAATACAGCTTTTTATATACATGGAGTCTTTTTTTTTAGAAAACAAAAACATCAATAGATTTTTGGGGGGGGGGTCCATGAAAAACTTTAAATTAAAAGGGGTCCAAGTGTTACAAAAGTTTGAGAACTGCTGTCCAGCTCATTCATGGGCTCAACTTCCGCAAATCAGGGACATTTTGAAAAGGGATTTAATTCAGTATTGTTATTGTAATGAGATAGTATGCCATTAACTACCTTTTTTTCTAATATACAAGCTGAAGCAAAGTGCATCAACCAATATGACATAAATGTGTGTGTGTGTGCATGCTCACAGGTTTAAAGAAAAGAATTATAACCTGTTGTACTTAGAAGTGCTAACCATGCATGCAAAACATAAAAGAATACATCAAGATCGAAACTTACCATCCCAACCAACAAACCCTCTAGCCTGCTGGGTGATGTTTGGTGAAAGAAGACAACCAATCAAAAAGTCTCCCATGGCAATCAAAAGTATAAAAAGCAAAACTATCTGAGTCTGAAAAAAAAAGGAAAAGATGTACATAGCCATCTTTGAAATTTTGTGCAATATAAATAACAAAATTTTAAATATACAATAATTAGTCTACACTCAAAACATAAAATATGAAAAGGTTTTTGATGTTCAAAATTTATACATACACATACCTATTTAAGTAGAGAATCTAATTTCAGTTGATCAAACAAGTTAATATTATATATATAGCCTTCTACTTTAGTATTATCTTAATGAGAAACTTAATATTTGACTATCCATTTGAAATTAGCATATGATATTGTAGCCCATCTTTAATAGGAATTTTTTTCACACCAGACGTCACACTTGATACTAACTGATTTTGAGAGACTTCTAACAATAACAAAATTACAAGAAGTGATACTTCAGTTGTCATGGAAACTACAGAAACACCTAATCCTCCCACAATAAGTTTAAGAAACATTTTAGGTGCTTTTAATTGTTATTGTCTGAGAAAATTAATCATCATTTTATTCTATTTTATCCAAAAGCGAATGTAATTATAATGTACGTAGCACACATAGCTAACAAGCTAAAACCAAATACGAAATTATATAAAATGGACTCACACTACATCCAATTAGTTATTTACTCTAAACCTAATCACTTAAATATATTAACAACTGTGTCCTAAAATCTAGCTGCTATTAAAAATGTTGAGCAATAATTTTATGAATACAGCAATTTTTTGGTACATATATATTTGCTCACTGCTTCTTGAGATATAACATTCTTTTCCACCTTGATGTAGAGGTAAATACACTTGTTCTTCTGCATCTTGTATGGAGCAGTATGTTTAATTTACTTGATGAAGAGTAACATACAGATTAGATTTGATTTACTCTGAACACACAATGGAATGTACATGTATCTTATTGAAACACAACAGTTTTGAGAGATTATATAACACTCATGCAGTTTACCTTTGATTCCCATTGAGACCCAATCAACGTTATTCCAAGCAAAACCAATACTGTTACACTTCCAATGATGCGAACGTCATTCATTCCTCCATCAATAATAATTAATTCATGGGACTATAAATCAAAAAAGAAATGCATTTTTTATTACACAACTCAAATTAATTGAGACAAGAAAATGATTTTTTGTCTTAGCACCTGAATTTTTCATCATGTCGAGAACACGAAGTTTAGCAGAAAATATTTGTTACACAAGAACACAAAAGGAAGTTGTCTTTGTGGTCAAAATACAGTAAATATTTTAGAATTACCAAATAATAAGGTTTACTACAGTTGAATTTGTGTAAGTCTAATACACATTTCTGAGAGCTACAACTCAAAGCTAAAGTTTACGACCTACTTGAAGCAGGTCTTTTAATGTCTCCCCAAAGCCTACAACATACATAGCCACAGCAACTGCACTTGCTATAGAGAATATTAAACCAATGGCACCACCAAATTCAGGTCCCAAACTCCGTGAAATCATGTAGTATGACCCACCTAAAGAAATGAAAAAATATTTTGATAACTGTTAAATGTCATATACACGAGTTATTCAGTAGTTTTAAGAACTGCAAATATAAAGATTGCTTTAAAAACAAATCTTACATAAATTATTCTAAACATAAGACATTAGTATTAGGCCTATTACATATTTTTTAACATTGTATTCTTTATCTAGTCCCTTAGGAACTTTTTAAGATTCTTAAAAGTGTATAATAATAGTATTCCAACCACAATACATTTGTCATATCCATTGTTGATGACTTATTTTGCTCAATTCAAATCTCTTCAGGCTGGCTGGGATACAATAAATGCAGTAACAGGCCTAATGTTAATGTCTTATGGCAAATATAATTGTAATAATTCTTCACCAGCTTGTAAAAGGTGTACACACAATAAAATTTTATATAAAGTACTGTATTTATATACTACATTTACTTAAAATAATTAATGTTGCTGAGTTGAGCTTAACCAGATAATTTGCTAGCTTTCTTACATTTTAATTTATATAAGGTGTTCAGAAGTATGAGAGAGGAGCAGAACTGACTTTTAATTATATTTTGTAGTTCTTACAAAGCCAAAAACAATACAGACACAATTAAACTAAATAGCACAACCCACCTCCCTTCACCTCTCCATTGGTGCATATGGCTGACATTGATATTGTTGTCAAGATTGTAACCAACATGGACAGAAGAATGACAACACATGCTAACCCTGAAATCAAATGCAAAGTACAAGAAAAGCAATCAGAATTTATGCTTTGAATTAACCAAAAATCAGCTGCTTGTTATGTTTTCTATAATTATTTATCATTACTTTCATCAGATGACACAACTGCCAACAAACCACGTAGTATTACCGAATAAAAACATTTTCAAAGACGAAAAAACATTATTATTGCAAATGGACATACTTATAACTTAAGGTTTATATCTAATATCTAAAGTGTGAAACATCAGTAATAAAGAGTGTCCTCAACTACGAATGTCTCAGTTTTCATACTATAAATGTACTTGGGCGTTTACAAAGCACACCTTATGGTTTGTATTTGATTACTTATCCAAACATACATACAAACATCAATAAATAGATAACTAAGTTAACACACAATCGCATATATATATATATATAGTGTGGGGGAAAAGTTACAACACAGTTGATATAACTGGTATTATATTACACTACTACAGTTGTATTAGACAGTTGGTATTAAAGAAAATATTAGGAAGATGATTAAAGCCAATTTAGTTATTGTTTCCTTGTATACTAAAACACTAAACTGGAATTCTCACAAACAAATTTAAAGAAAGAAAAAACTTGTGTGGTTAGTATGTATATCTTGTTTCAATTTCTGAGGTAAAAAAACCTCCCCTCTAATAAAAGTAACACATAAAAACAAACAGACTTCTAACTCACCAATCCCGGCTTGTCCCACAACCCAGGACAACCGAATGAAAAGCATAACACCCCAAATGTTGAGTAGGCATCGTATCTAAACAAAGATTGAATCTAATGAACATGTAACAGTTAAATATTAAATAAATTACATATTCTTGTGCATTATTAGGCAGTCTAACGATTATCCAATAATCTGACATAATTTGTTGTGTTATATAATATCAACTGTAGTATAATTCAGCACATAGCTACCACACTGCATAGTTATCCAGGACAGAACTACTCAAACATATATTTATCCAGCACATAACTACCCAAGCACATACTAATCTAGCACATTAGTACCTCAATAGTTATCCAGCACATTAGTACCTCAATAGTTATCCAGCACATAACTATCCAAGCACATACTTATCTAGCACATTAGTACCTCAATAGTTATTCAGCACATAACTACCCAAGCACATAATTATCCAGCACATTAGTATCTCAATAGTTATCCAGCACATAACTACCCAAGCACATAATTATCCAGCACATTAGTATCTCAATAGTTATCCAGCACATTAGTACCTCAATAGTTATCCAGCACATTAGTATCTCAATAGTTATCCAGCACATAACTACCCAAGCACATACTTATCCAGCACATTAGTACCTCAATAGTTATTCAGCACATAACTACCCAAGCACATACTAATCTAGCACATTAGTACCTCAATAGTTATGAATATACAACATCAATTTTGGGGAGATTTCTAATAAGAACAAAACTGGAATGCTCAAGATGGACATTAGACACAAAAAATTAATATAACAGAGATTTGAAATAATTGGTATTTATTTCCAGCACATAATTACCCAGCACACAAGTACCTCATAATTATCCACAGCATTTTATTCAGTTATCCAGTATACATATTATCACACATCAATTAATTAACAACCAAGTTATTTCTATAATAAAAGTCCATAAATCCAAGCGTTTTCAAAATTCATTATCAAGCGTATATTACAGAATACTTACCAAAACTCCTTGTATCCAACCGAACTTTATAGCTCCAGTTGTAACTACTTCTGCCTTGACTGATTTGTGATTCTAGAAAAAAATATATACACATTATTTATACTGAATGGAAATATTGCTTTAACACTAATTTTAACAAGTAGAAATATTCATGTTAATTAATGCTATGGAAATATTATGATGACAAATGATAGTTTACAGTTCCAGAACAATCTACATGTATTATAATAATATTTAGTTTTTGACTGTCCTGATAATGCGCGCTCACCTTACTATCTAAATACGCATGCGCGCGCACTTCAACGGCAATAAACAAAGAGCGAATGTAAATACACTTCAGTACTCAATATTAATAGACATATTAATAGCTTATCAAAATTTTTTAAAAAGTTCGTAGAATAATATTACAAGTTTAATCACTGATAGTATGAAGTACGGTAAAGTTTAGCCCTAGCTATACTAAAGCAAAACACGTACACAAGTTAAAGTGTTAATTTATCTCTTTATCGAATATAGGCCGTATTAATAATAGCTTAATCAATTAATTAATGTTAGGCCTAAGACAAGTGAACTTATAGATTTCGGTTTGTGCGATTGGAGTTTTTTTGTATTATTCTAGAAATCCTGTATTTAAAGAAGTACTGTCGCAATAAAGGTATTAATTTGACCGCAGTTGTTTTGCGCCTCTCTGCTAGTAGGCCTATATACAATATAAAACATTTTGGGACAAAATGGGACCTATTGGTCCATCTCGGCTGTTCCATCCACTAAACTAAACTATATAGTAGTAATGTCGTAAGCAGGTACAGTATAAAATCTCAATGGCATTATGGTAGTAATTTCCTAAAGTGGGCCATAAAATATAATGACCAAGAGACAAATTCTCGATACCACATTACCACTCGTGTGGTAAACCATGGTTATATTGTCATATGATAATGCCATATGATGTAGTTGCCATGATTATAATTTGATAATCTAGTTTTTAGTTTTTTTTTAAGGGCGTGCATCAAAAGGTTAAATGAGTATATAAATATAAGATGCACAACAATGTCATTCTAAAGTTTATGCCGTATTTATAAATGAAAGTACGTCCCAATAATTTATAATGCAAGTACAGTAAAGTAAAACCAAAAACGATAAAAAGGAAAAGCTGGTGATTATATTTAAGTATTAATGATTTTGACTTTCAAATATTTTAACTTTCTAGGAAAACGCGGAAATTAAAAGCTCCGTGACTTTTCTATATATGAGGCCGAAACCATCCCACGTGTTATGTGTTATAGGAAACTCACGTGTATAAATTATTTATAAGCTTGAACAATCAATCCCTATATTTGCTAGCATTTACTTATGTATGGAATATCTGAAAGCATCAACACGTGTACCGAAACACTGCCGCTAAAAACAACAACTACTTTTCCAAAAAAACGTGGCATTTTGCATGGCCACGTCTACATTAACTGTCAGGTCTTTGACCTTACTATCCAGAAACTAGCCAAACATTTGCTGTGAAGGAACTGGGCTGTATGTGTTATTTTTGAAAGCTTCACCTGTACGATTAAACATACGTTTGCTACATCTGTAATAAAATCTATTACTAATAGTTTTTGGGATATCTATGTGTCTTCGATGTTCTATGTTCACAAAGGCGTGAAAAATTAAAAATAAATTAATAATAACACGATCTTAATCTCTCTGACATGTACCTTCAACGCTTAGAAAATAAATGTTAGATTTCTGTAATAAAATACAGTTTGGCTTACATCGTAATGTAAAGCAAACTGACATAAAATCTAAGCATTTTGTTTTTCGTTTATTACAATACTATTAGACAGGGTATAGATTGCGACATCTAGTAACTGATGCAGTAAACATTGAGCGCGATTTACTTTTTAACTCAGAAAATGTCATATTTTTTCATCAGTATTTTAAAACAAAATATTTTCACGTACTAAAATAATCTTAAATCGCCAACGAATCATTGTTTCACAACACGTTAACTAACTGAAATTTGTGAAAATGTTTATTTAAAAAAAACCCGTATTGCACCATTTCACGTATTGCTAGTGTTATGATCTACTTTAAAACTGCGTCAATCGATATTTTGTTACGCCATCACCAGACGTTTTCTAGTATTACAGCAGTGAATAAAGAACGCTATGCACATAATAAATAACAAAACCCTGGCTTCCTGTTCTGTTATGACGAAATTATATTAATTTATACAATATTTATATATTTATTTAATAGCTATGACATTTATATAAAGCATCCTATTATTTCATTTTTATCAAAGTAAATTAAAGATAACAAAAAACATTTTTTTAACAATTATCATTTAGATATTTATGTACGATTTGCTATAAATGTTATTGGCAGACCTTTGTTCATCTGCACGTTTTAAACACAATAAGTTGGACGAATACGTAACCAGCTTTTCAACCGACTTTAAAATATTCATTCACAGTTATGGTCACCAGGTTTCCAAAGTCTGGTCTGTGTCGGTATTTTTGGTCGTTGTGCGCGACCTGGGAGGGTCAGGTTCAATCTAGACCTCTTCCTCCATAAACAGATTTCCAAAATTAGTTTGGTTTGTTTTGAATTCGCGCAAAGCTACACGAGGGCTATCTTTTCTAGTCATTTCTAATTTAGCAGTGTTACACTAGAGGAAAGCAGCTAGTCAACTCTTGGGCAAAACTTTTACCAACGAATAGTTGTATTGACCGAACATTATACTGCCCCGACGGTTGAAAGGACGAACACGTTCAGTGAGGGGGATTCGAACCCGCGACCTTCAGATTACGAGACGAGAACTCTACCCCAGATTTCTTTTTCAAGAAAATATAATAAGCCTGATACTAACATGTTATGACAAATATAATTAATTGTAATCATGCTTCGTCAGCCAAGAAAAGGCGTTCATACCATAACAATACGCAATTAATAAGATCAATTTCTTTCCCAATTATCTGCGTGAATCTTCAAAGACAATTTCTAGACTTTAACTCGAAATTCTTGGGAATATTTTACTTAAGATATTGAAGACACTCACTGTGGCCGTCATCAGGGTCAATTAGAGGAGGGTCATTTGGTCCGGGCCTTGAATTTACAAACTTGTTATTTATTTTGCATTTGTTAAGTGTGACACGCACAGATTAAATATTCAAATTATGTTTCACTTTTCTTTTGGGCTAATGATTGTCTTATTTTGTTTTCATGTGTCATCATTTTTTAGGCCTGGTTAGGGCGCTCGACTCGCAATCTGCTGGTCGAGGGTTCGAATTCCCGTCCCACCAAACATGCTCGCACTTTCAGCCGGGGAGGGGGGGAGGGCATTATAATGTTCTGGTCAATCCCATTAATCATTGGTAAAAGAGCAGCCCAAGCTTTGGCGGTGGGTGGTGATGACTAGCTGCCTTCCCTCTAGTCTTTCACTGCTAAATTAGGGACGGCTAGCGCAGATAGCCCTCGTGTAGCTTTGCGCGAATTTCCAAACAAACTAATCATCTTTTTTTATTATTATTATAGCCAGGAGCCTCAAAAGATAGAGATGACCCCAGCCTCAATAAGCCTCTGAGTAATCACACTTATCTTTTTTTTTAATCAGAAGATCCACTTATGTAAACTTGCCAGTTCTATATGTCAACAAAGAAGAAACGTATTAAATTGACTTACTAATGAAATAATCCCAATTGAAAGCTGTACATGAAAGAAGTAGACAGGGCAATTTTATTGAATTTGTTTACTTTAAATGCATCCCCCCCTTTTGTTGTTGTTGCAAATACAGCTTTAATGTAATTTTTATACAAACAATTTTTAGTTTATAAGAAAAACGGAAAATCTAAATTAGGTCGTTCCCTACTACACACCGATTTATTTTTCTCACTATTAACAGCTTCATACCAAGGCTATCTGTGCTCTGCCCATCACAGGTATGGAAACCTGGTTTCAAGTGTTGTAAGTCTGCAGAAATACCATTGTGCTGCTGGGGTGAGTGCACATTAATACAATTTTACATTTATTTTAGATTTTGCTTTTATTATATGGCTCATTCCACCCCCACCCAACCACCCATTTAAGTAAAGCTGAAGCTAGAGCTGCTTTACACTTTGTACAAGACCATGAGAAAGGTTTATATTTTCAAAATGAATTTTAATACTCTAAATGGGTTATCAATAAAATATAATTGTTCTTTATAAATATGGTTTATTCAATACATAAAGAATATTATAAACTATTTACTCACATAAAAAATATCTCGGTCTATGGAGAAACAAAACCATAAATAAAAGACAACATGGTAAAAGTGAGGAGGTAATATTTACTACCACATAGATTAAAACAATAAAAAGACCAAATCACTTTGTAGTTGCTTTTATAATTGATGACTCAGTGTGATATTATTAATAATTTTCAAATACATTTAAATGTTGTTGGTTTTATCTACTATATAGTTACAACAATCAGTCAGGGTCCTTTCATAATTTATGAAAAATTTCATTCAAATACACAGTAATTACTCAAGTTATTATTGTTACAATTACTGAAGGACAGAAAAATATTATTTATATATATATGCAAAGAGAAGCAGAGAAATATAACAAAAATATTTGTTTGTTGGTTTGTAATTAAGCACAAAGCTACACAATGGGCTATCTGTGCTCTGCCCACCACGGGTATCGAAACCCGGTTTATAGCATTTTTATGACAAAAAATATAAGTATTGGGTTAGCGCTAGTTATTTTAATTGGGCTTTCTATGCTTACAACAAGCTTCTTAAGTGTTTGGAACAAAATAAGTGTCATAATTTATAAAAGATTAAATACACTAAATATTATTTATAAACTAAAAAAAAAAACCTTATGGATAAAAAAAATGTACTTTACATTAGATTTAAGTACAAATAAAATGTGCATAATTCACTCAGTCATCATTTTTCAGTTGTCTAGATGTAAACTTAAGAACTTTTTGACATACAGAATCATAAAAAAATAAATTTTAATTATTCATATCAATATTTTGGACAGTTTCACAATGAAGCTTGAAAAAGGGGCAGATATTTTCATTTCTCTGTGTGTATATTTGTTTGAATATTATGTTTATATCAATTGGGAAACTCAGTCAGCATGTTACTTTATTGAAAATTTTAAATACTGCTACACAGACAAATTAAATTAGCCAGTGACTAATGTCACTGAGCAAGTAAACTGCCTTAATGAAATAATTATCCCCATAATTATAGTCATAACTGAAAATTGAACATATTCTTGTTTATTTCAAGAATATCAAAATTTTTATATTGCCAGGAAGTAATATATAACAATGTGTCTGGTTAAAAACAGTCAAAAAAGTGTGAACTATAGAAATAATGTCTAAAGCTATGGATCTAAAAATAAAACAAAACTTTAAAACTTATTGTTAATAAAATATTTCACAATCAGATTATTTTCAAGTAATTACAATGTATAAATAGTTTCGCATGAAAATGCATGTAACAAACTTGAAATACAAAATTCATACATCAACAAAGATAAGTCAATGTTTCGTACAAGTTAACCTATTAGTCTTGTACATACACATTGTAAACATACTAATAATGAAAAAAATCAACATTTGGTAAAGCTTCCCTTATGTAATGGTGCAAACTTCTGAAATCTTATGTATTTGAATATCCTAATAATAGATGATGATCCACTCCTGTAGTGTTGAGATCAAGCTCTAGCTTGTAATCTAAGCTTATTTCTGAATTCAAGCATAGGCTTTTTACTTGCCCACCCTCACTCTTCCCACAATAAAAACAACCATGGGTCCAGTACGAGTGCAGATGCTGTGAATGTATACAAAATTCAATAATTATATGACATACAAATATCCAGTAAAACGTGTGGGGAAGTTGTATCTTGGTTCCTACTGCACCTGCTGTTAAACTTATTTACAAAACTTTCCACTCCCTCGAGAACAGTTTTTCTCTCATGTTTCCTTTTTTTTTAAATGTAGTCCTACAAATGTAGTACACAAAGATTGTAAATAGTTTGCAGCAACATCAATATGCATGAATATAGTCAGCATCACAATGAAGATGGGAGGGATATATAATTTTTTTTAAACAACAGCACAACATACAATTGTAAAAGCTAAAATAAGAATAGTCAAGATCAATGCTGTTCTATAACTACAGAAATACAGAATCAAATTTAATATTAACAAGTATCATGTATGCATATCATTGACACAAACAAGTCAAACTGTTTGGAACAAAAACCACTTTTACCATGAATTTTGAAGAAAATAGTAAAACAATGTTTTTATTAAAAAAAAAAGTCAGACTCTTTAAATATTTCGCATTTCTGGTGTGGTTCACATTCTTCCATTTGTCTTTGATATGGTACTGAAATCAAGTTTATATATTTAAAATATACACAACTTCTTATGTGTAACTGTACAAATATAAAACTTTTTAATAGAAAGTGTAAACTTTTGATATGATCTTGAAAAATTCAGTACAGCATTAACGGACTTAAATTAATATTTATTACCTCAGTTTTTGTACAGTAATTGCTTAAAATGAAATAAACATTCAGTGTAAGGGAGTTCTTGTTTTCAGAATTTTTGTAAATTATGACGTGGCTATAAAGTTTAAAATGTAGAAGCATAAGGCTGAATGTTTGACAAAAATATTACCGAAGTTTAATTCTTTTATGTATTTAGATTTCAAATTCATAAAGATAAGTGGTTTCATAAAAAGTTTATATGCTGATTTTAATATAACCTGATCTGTTTAGTTGATGCTTAAGCATACTTTTATTAGAAAGATTAATCATTTGATAATAATACCAAATAATCTTTTTAATCTTTTTTTCAGGGAATTTCATATATCTTTAACGACCTGTTAATATAGGTGAAATGAAATAAAATGTTGAAAATATGACCTTATGAATACAAGTAGTTTAGGCTTTTCATTTCCACTGAAAAATTAATATATTTTTCCCCTGTATAACTACTTCCTACTAGTATCACAGAACACTGCAGAAAATAAAAGGTATTGCTTGAAAGACTAACAATCCATTGCAAAGACAACTGTTTATATTATTAGATCTGAGATGTGATACTGGTTCATAACTACTGCTAAATTAAAAACAACAACATATGTCTCATGAATATATCATAATAATAGACTTCCTTTTCAGTTGTTTACTTTTCTTACTCATCTATGCACATAACATTACTGGAACCAAACCTACAAGGCATAATGTATCAACCTTTTATCTAAGATTTGTTATCATTATTTACTCATATTTACCTGTTTAAATCTTTAGTATTACTGTAAGTATTTCTAATAATGTTTATCTACACTGATAATGGGAGTGATATGCCTAGGACTGTCATGCCATTCATTTCACGTTTCTTAAACATCTATAGTCTTCTATTATACACACTGTATGACACGAAAATTTAAATAACTAGACTGTCCTTTATATATTTCTTATCTACTCTCTGTAACAGTACTCATAGAGGAGAACACAGAACTTCAACCTGACAGTAAGAAGTTAAAAAAAAATGCAGTCATTAATAAAAACTCATGTGCAATTAAAATGAAAGATTAACAAACGACTGATTTACATGAAAGTAATTTATAAAATTACAATAATTTTTTCTACTTTGGCCAGATGTTATATTTTTTTACATAGCATAAAACCAGAAGGTTTTCGATAAATAACTTCCCAATAACCAGATTCACAAACATTTCCTTTATTTCTTTTCTTTTTTAGTGTTCTAATTAAAGTCTTTACCTTGTTTCCTCCTGCCTGATGTTGATGTGTAGCTTGATGAAGTTCATCCAGAGTTGGACGGTGTAAATATCCATGAACAGACATAACATTTCGATAAAAGTCAACATTTGGTAAAGCTTCTCTGGTATAATGGCGTAAACTTCTGACATTTTGTGTATTTTCGTAGGTATTTGAATTTCCTGAAAGTGAAACTGAATGATTTGTTGAGGATCCACGCCCATTAATACTAGTGTTAAGACCAAGTTCTAACTTGGATTCTAAGCTTATTTCTGAATTCAGTACAGGCTTTTCAATGACAAAATCAACTTTGTCAACCTGAAATCTCGATTGCTTGGATCCTTCTAGACTTTTTCCTTCCATTTATAAAATTTTCTTAATAACAATTATGAAAGACTAAAGAAGGAACAGTTGTGGGTCAACCAACAACAGTCATCTCCCAAACGCCTTATCACATTTGTCGTACTAATCATTAATAGTCTAGGATCATATATAGGGAAAGGACGATATGCAGCTGCGCCCTCTATTATGAATTTTTTCCAAATCATGTAATAAAAAATTATACATATTTATATCTCTGCAGACAAAAGGTGATTCATATTACACATCAGTTTTCGTTTTTTTAAATAAATAGCATTATAATTATTAATGTTCACTTAATATTACTGACAAGATTTTAAAAAAATAGCGAAAATCTTAAAAGTTAAAAAATGTATTGTTAATTAATATTCTGTAATTATTATTAAAACAACAAACCAATTTCGTTTTACTACATCTTTCTTATTAAATGGTGATTTTTATTGTGATTGTTATATTAAAGTTTGAATAATATAATAAAGAATAACAAATACTTTCTTCTCGTTATAAGTTTATTTATAAATAGAAGTATTCAGTGAATTTGAACTCAGTATTAGATGGAAATTTCGTGAAAAGCCATAGGAGCTGTAGTCGTACAACATACTATAAGTTGAAACTACACAAATAAGAAACGAACACAACTCTCTGCAAGATAGCATTAGTGATCACTCCCGAGGATGACGTTGTAACGTCGAAACATGTAGAGTCGTCAACTTTTGAAGGCCATAGATAGGCCTAAATAAAATATTTTTTAATTGTTTACTAGTTTAACGTTGAATATTA